ATATACATATAATATATACGTATATATATATGTATAGGAAAGAGTTCAAATGAGAACTTCTCCCTAGTGTAAGAACTAAGAACTCATCTTATCCCTTCAATAAAGTATTATTAATGGTTGTGATTGAACTTAATATATTAACATAATTTGATTAAAATGCTATGAATAATGGATATGGTATTAAGCAGCTATGGTAAGCTTTTTAGTAGGAAAAAGAATCATTTACTTTACTATAATTATACTAAATCTACCTATTCATTTTATCATTTTTTTTTTTTTTTTGTCACCAATATTCTGTCTACTTTTATTTTTTTTAATTTATTTGTGTTTTAACATAATTTTAAGGTAAGACCATGAAGTGATTTTTAGCAGCAAGAGAAAACATAACATAGTCCATAAAATCACCGTTGAAGGAGTGGTTTTATTATTATTATTTATTATTATGATTATTATTATTATTATTATTATTTATATTCTTTTTTTTTTTTTGAATTAAACTATGCCCATTCGATTCAAGTATATAGTTATACCTTCTAGTAGATACTTTTTTTATTTTTATTTTCTAGAAAATAAAAATAATAATGAAGTAAGATAGTTGACATGCATCATAAACTTATTTAAAATTTAATTAGAAATTAGCTATTGAATTGGAGTAAACAAAAAATATATTTTAAATATTTACAATGTACTTTAATAAAAGAATCTAATTATTTTCAATTCTAAACATTTTTGTATATAGTAATAGTTAAAATTCGAATGGATAGTGTCAACATTCAAATTAATACATCATTTAATTTTACTTGTTAATGGTAGATTTTTAATAATAGTAATAATAATTATTTGTGTGACAATTAGGTGAACATTATATAATGCTATTTTTTATTTGTGTGATAATTATGTGAACGTTATATAATGCTATTTTTAGTTGCATATGATGCTATTTTTTATATCATAGGTTGCTATTATTTATACAATGATTATATTATATATAGTGTTGAAAATAATAGCAACACTATGCACATTTGACAGCAACAACTTCATATTAAGACTAATTGGTTGTTGATTATGTTTGTCAAATCAACTTCATATTTTTTGGTACAATAAATCAACTTCATATTAAGACTAATTGCTTGTTGATTATGTTACAAACATTTGACGTAGCTAGGATTAATGATTGGAATAGTGGCATATATAATATTAATTGATAGCATTAAGTTAAAAAATATTACTTCAATGAGTTGGACATATATTGAACTCATAAAAATAGAATTTATCCGCATATCAAGTTTTAAATTTTTTATTGTTATAATAAATTAAAATATAGTTATAATAAATGACAACTATATTTTATAAAACTAATTATATAGCATATAATTTTGTTTGTTTATCTTATACAAAAGATAATAGCAATGTAATTTTTGTTAAATATAATTAAATTTTTAATTATAGCAATAATCTCCATTAGTAATAGCATTAAAATATTAATATAATAGCATCAAATAACTCGTGTAGATACTATCTCCATGCAAATTACAAGGATCTACTAAGATTAAAATTGCATTGCACCTTTGATATGCTATATAGTTATCCTTCAACTACTAGCATAATTTATTTTCAATTTCATGATATATATTGGTAAAAGCTAGCGTTACGTGTATTTGAAATTAGCATCATCATATAAGAACATTTGCATAACAATTTTTTATTGTTTGGTATAAAATTTTGGTGGTCATACTTACCATCTTTTTGACAATTCAATTTCCATAAATTCTAGGTTGCAGTAAAAAGGGAGATTTGCAATTAATATCACTTTCCTTACTTTGTCTCTACCTCTACTCATTAGTTACATTTAGTTAAATTCCTAATATATATACTAAACATAATTTAAACCATTGATGATTATTGATTTGAAGGCTATGATTGGTTCCTAGTTCTTACACTAGAGATGGTTCTTATTAGAACCCTCCCCTATATGTATATATATATATATATATACACGAAGCATATTTAGCTCATCACCAAAGTCTTCCTTCACATTGTCTTTCGTCTTCTTCAAAAGTATTCTCCACCATGACGGTTAGCTTTTCTCCTTTAGAATGCCTCTAATTATTGTTACTATTTTTGTTGTTATAATAACTAAAACTACGGTCCCGTTACGGAACAATTCCGTCGGGGTTTGTAACCGTTAGATCTGTTAGAATATCACTTGTGAGTTGTCCCACATTGTTAATACATGGAAAATAGACCCACTTAATAAGTTTAATGGGCTACTCCTCCTTTCACCAATTGGTTTTGGGATGGAACCTCATTTGGGCTTCATATGGGCTTTTCTTTTCCCCAAGTTTCTTACATGGTATCAGAGCCCACTTTGTGTCCACTTAATAAGTTTAATGGGCTACTCCTCCTTTCACCAATTGGTTTTGGGATGGAAGCTTTCCTTTTCCCCAAGTTTCTTACATGGTATCAGAGCCCACTTTGTGTCCACTTAATAAGTTTAATGGGCTACTCCTCCTTTCACCAATTGGTTTTGGGATGGAACTTCATATGGGCTTTCCTTTTCCCCAAGTTTCTTACAAGATCAACTATCCACGACGGACGGTTACATGATGATCTAATTAAGGTTACAAATCCCGACAGAAAGGTTTCGTAATCGGACTGTAGCATTTCCCTAATTTGTATTATAATAACTATTTTTTGATGTTATAATAAGTAATTTAATCTTCTTGTTGTATATATATTTTTTTTTTTTTTTTGTATTTTCTATTTCGTACATTACGCTGTTACTTGCTAAAGTTGCATAGCTTGAAAACGTGGTATCATTATTAGGGAAACAAGTTATTCATTTATCACAATAAAAAATTAAAGTAGCCAACAGTATAAGGGATCCAAAAATTGCTTAAAATCATTTTTAATTGTTAATAATATGATTATTTACAAACATTTCAGATTGTTGAGATGAGAGTGCATATGGACTGTCCGGGGTGTGAAACCAAAATCATGAAAGCCCTCTCCAAATTAGATGGTACCACTAATTATTTCATATTTATTGTAGTTATTTTTTAGGGACATGCTAAGGTCCCGTTACGAAACTCTTCCGGCGGGATTTGTAACCGTTAGATCATCATGCAACCGTCAGAGATATTTATTCTAACGGTTACAAACCACGACGGAATTGTTCCGTAACGGGACCGTAGCATCTTCCTATTTTTATTACTGAATTTTATTTTCTTTTCTTTTCTTTTCTTTTCAATCTACATCCGAGTAGAGTTGTAAATGCTCGAGCTCCTTTATCGAGCATTGGAGCCGATAAAAAAGCTCGATCTCGCCTTGTTTGTTAAAACTTACTACCTGAGCTAAGGTATTATTTCATACACATTTAAAAACCTTATCTCTAGAGTCTGATTAACGAGTTAATCGAGTCGAGTTCACGAGCTGTTTGATTCGTTTAACAACTTAGCTCATCTAATCATACAAGTCAATATATCCTCTTCTTAAATTAATCTCTAAATATTCCTTATAAAATCAGGTGTGGACACCATAGACATAGACATGTACATGCAAAAAGTGACAGTCACTGGAGTAGCCCATCATGACAAGGTTCTTAAAACAGTCAGAAAAACCGGCCGGCTGGCTGAGCTTTGGACATCTCCTTACAACCCAGAGTACCACGATTATTGCAGCCGGTACAACTACTATGGCAGCTCGGATTATAACTACATGAACAGCCATCCCAATGGCTTCATGTCTGAGCCATGCTCATATGGCTACTACATGGCTGAGCCATCCAGATCCTCTTGGTACAACTACTACAAGCATGGGTACAATAGGCATGATCATGGCTACTACCAACGGCCGCCATCCTTGGCCATCCTCGGGGAGGAGGCCGCCACCTATTTTAGCGACGATAATGCCAATGGATGTTGGATTATGTGATCAAAATCAATGGTGAAAAATAGAAGAAAAATCAAACTTTTGTGTAGGTGTTACATTTGATTAGTAATGCCAATTCTCATATTCATGTTTATGTACTAAATTACACATACGGAAAA